AATCATGATTTATGCTATAGTTAAAAACTAAACGTAAGATTTAGGCACTGTGGTTTTAACCAGATTTACTTATTATAAAACTAGTAATAGTAGAATACGACTTGAAATCTAGTAGCATTAGATATAACTTTCTATAATTTCACTCTCCTAAAACAAACCGTATAGAATGATGTTGGGGGTTTTCTTTTAAAGTTCTAAACAGAACATGTTGACAATACTTTTGTTTTAAATTTTAGAGTTCACTGTTGTATACTAATTGTACACTATAAATACTAAGCCATAAGCCCCGTGTCACCAAACGCATACAACCCAACATCAACTTATACGATACAATCCGTTGTCTCTAAATGATGTGTAACTCCTGCGTCCCAGTCCTCTCGTACAGTTAAGTCCTTGTCCCCGATATACGATGCCCATCAAAAGTTCTAAAATTGGTACGCTAATTTTACGCATGAGCGCGTTCAGTCATCAGATTAAAAAAAATAAACCCGACAAAGACATTTTCATGTGATAAAAAAAAAACCAGCACACCCGCCGCACTGTGTTGCTTGTTTTTAAAATACCACTTCTCAATTGTTTTGAGAATTATTATGTTGTTTTTTATATCAGTCCAACAGATCAGGTGTCCATACACACACGGTTTTAGGTTCTGTAACCAGAGACAAACAACAATAACACGATTGGAAGCAGGAGGGGGGGGGGGGGGAAGGTACGGACACGCACGCTGTGGAAGTTATTTAAATATTGAAGCAACTTTTCAACGGTTGAAGCAATTGTTCTGTTCATAACTGAGTCAAAGATAGACTAAGGCAATCTATAGCACGATTGAAGGGGGGTGGGGGGAGGAGGATAATGTCTAATGTTGTGACAATGTAAAGTCTGAAGATTTCTGGCCAAATTAATCTACAAATCTAGTTCAATAAAAATTATAGTATTTACACAACTATTTTTTTTTGTAGCATTGGATACCACAATGATGTGGCGTTGCTAGTTCGGGTGTCACCTGGTGCCGTCCACACCCGCTGCACCCCACCCCGCCCCCATGCTATTGCATTGTGAAACTAACATTCATTCCAAAGTTTCAAAGACGTGCCTTGCTTATGGATACAGCAAAATGTTGCCGTTGGCAATTCAACTACAAAGAAATTAAAAAAGTTTTTAAAAGGAATTTGGTATAAACAAAAGAATGAAAGTACAGCATGATTAGCATAATCATTCAAACATGATTGTAACCTTGTCTATAATCAATCTAAAAGGTTACCTTAATCTTTAAACATTGATTGTAACAATTGCCTGAGATTAAGCAAAAAGTTTACGACAATGCTCCTGTTGGCAAGTGAGATTTGTGACAGTGAGTGAACAACATATTGTGTAGCTGAATTCTAAACAAAGTTTACTATACACAGTAGGGCACACTAGTCTGTTTATTGGTGAGTCAAATCAAAATATGAGCATCAACATTTGAAACTTGTTCATTAGGCATTTACATTCCTGCCTGCTATAGAAGTATACATACACACTTACTTTCTTAATCCTTGATACCAATTTATGAAAAAGACAGAGGAATCAGAGGTATTAAGGTTTGCATTCCAGAAACTCACAAAAATATCACTGTGATTTGATTAAATATTCAGAAACTTACCAAAAAATGAATAAATACTATGGCTTCATGTATACTATTATACTATTCTTAAGAAAAAAAAACTAAATAGAAATACTGTACAGTGTAGCCAGAACAAATGAATGAAAAGAGATCGAAGTCCTTCCTTGATATGTATCATTGGAATTTATAATAGGAAAGGTAAGGCCTATTACTGGAGGTATTTTACAATCAGATTAAGAAAGCAATTAGCACAAAAACAGGAAAAAATATAACAATGGTTACATAAACAGTTTACCCAGGTTTAGCAGTGGGGATAGAGAGATGTTAGGAGCTAATATTGTTTTAGTGTAGAACTGGCAGTCAATGGGGCATTGCTCACTATAAAACTCTTTAATGACTCCTTAATTAACCCTTACACCATTCTGTTGTTGTGACCTGTCCTAACCTAACCCTTACACCATTCTGTTGTTGTGACCTGCCCTAACCTAACCCTTACACCATTCTGTTGTTGTGACCTGCCCTAACCTAACCCTTACACCATTCTGTTGTTGTGGCCTGCCCTAACCTAACCCTTACACCATTCTGTTGTTGTGACCTATCCTTAAACCCTATGCTCTGCCCTTAACCTAACCCTTACACCATTCTGTTGTTGTGACCTGCCCTAACCTAACCCTTACACCATTCTGTTGTTGTGACCTATCCTTAAACCCTATGCTCTGCCCTTAACCTAACCCTTACACCATTCTGTTGTTGTGACCTGCCCTAACCTAACCCTTACACCAATCTGTTGCTGTGCCCTAACCTAACCCTTACACCATTCTGTTGTTGTGACCTGCCCTGCCCTAACCTAACCCTTACACCATTCTGTTGTTGGGACCTATCCTTAAACTCTGTGCTCTGCCCTTAACCTAACCCTTACACCAGCACTGTGACCTGTCCCAACCTAATCTTTACACAACAATTCACCCAAGTCATCTAACTGTGTAATAAATAGGACCTGACTGTTAAAGGCCATAACATCAGTTTGTATTGAGTCTGTAGCAATATCAGTGTTAGTATCTTCATAAAAATATTAGAAGCTAAGACATACATTAGGCAGCCACAAGATCCTAGATCTGTATCAAGTATATATGTCTAAGACGGATAACAAGCTAATACTTCTCTTGCCGACTCTACACAAGTACTTAGATATCTTAGTTGACCATCACAAAATACATAGTGCCCTGATGCCACACTTTTTTTTTTTTACTTTTTATGTAGTGTGTGGATCCTTCATGACATAACTTTGATTAGGGGTTGTAATTATATGTATAAGTGTACATAACTAAGGAAAGCCACCCCTCCCCCCATGAATTAATTAAGATCACTATTTAAGAAAAATTTTCTAACTGATAAACAACTATAAAATACAATACATTTGAGTGAAGGTGTCAATATGCATAAATTATTGTTTGTCTGTGTGCTACACTCAGTCAGCAGCAGAGGCGTAGCGACCCTTCCTGGCGCCCGAGGACAAACTTTTCAATTTGCATCCCCCCTCGAGATTTCAATTTGCACCCCCCCTCTCGAGATTTCGATTTGCACCCCCCCTTCAAACTTTCGATTTCAACCCCCCTCAACCTTTCAATTTATTTTTCCAACCCATTTTGGCGCCCCCTAAGGTCGGCGCCCGGGGACATATGTCCCCCCCCTGCCCCCCCTCGCTACGCTACTGGTCAGCAGCACACAGATAAACAGACTGTTCTAGGTCCTACTTGTGTGACACACTACTGCACATGTGCTAGTATCATTCAGTCAGCAGCACATAGATACAGAGACTGTTCTAGGTGCTACTTGTGTGACACACTACTGCACATGTGTTAGGACAGCATCCTGCACTTTAAGTCAAACAATCATTCTCAAATACATTGGCTATGTATCCCAGTTTGTATGTGTAACTCAATAATCAGAAAATATAGATAGCCTATATCATGAATATAAAAAAAACAGTGACCATCAGTTGTGCTAAACTAAACTTAAAGGCCTATTTAATATTTAATAATATATAGATCTATAATTATAGCCTAACCATTATTGATCTAGAATCTAGTCTAGTATTTACAAGTAGATTCTTGTCAGGTTTTCTGTGAAACTGAAAAGGAGGGTGGGGGGGGGGGAACACCTATAAAATGCTAGATCTAGATCTTGGGCTAGTCTAGAGAATTTTATTATTATTTAATATTTAGATCTATTATTAGGGCCCAATGTTCAATGTAAGAAGACCGACCTAGGATTTTAAATTCTCAAATCACAACTGCCCTCAGACGTTACAACAACAAATCTCTAGATTCCAGAGAATCCAATAATTAACAATATTAATTTATTAATAACTAATAGAATCGATCTAAATCTAGATCTAGATCTAGATATGAAAAAATAACGTGTAACTACTGTAACACTGACCTCAATTTCAACGCCGTAGACCGCAGACGAAAGAATCTTTGCTTTTATTTTTTTTAACGGCAAACGACGTCGTCTATGACACGTCTTGTAAAATTAAAATCTAGATCTAGGTTCTAAGCCTAGTTTTTGAGAAAAGTGAAACACAACTTAAATTGCCGAGCTCTAAATTTACTTTCAAGAACAGAATTCGATTTTTTTAAATTTTAATTTCAAACAGAGAACAGTGTAAGCTCTTGTTTTGGACGAACGGTGGCCCACCATTCGCAGCGTCTTAGCCCGACTGTGTGCGTTGCCTTCGCTGTCCCGATGTTATCGATTGTTCTGCCCTATGACCTTTTGACACCCAACAAAAGGTAAAAATCAGGAAAGATAACCGAATTTATAACTGACTTTAGAAGACAATGGAAGTTAACTACCCTTTAACTTCGTAAATTGAATTAAAAACTTCTGACAAATTCCGAAAGGTATTTAGATTAAAGATTTAATCATGATGCTGTTTACAAAAATATATCGAAGTAACTGTTTGAAGGAATACAAATTATGCTATATAACTCACTTCCTCTAAAACATTTTTTTTTAAATGCATCTTTAGTTTTAATTATTACCTTACTATTAACTACACATAAAATAGTTGTTAGCTGAAATACTAAGTTTAAAAAAAAATGTCATTGTATTCTTAATTTATTTTTCTGTAAGGTCTTCATGGTTTTTACTTATAAACCTATTGAATTTATTGCGGAGTATAAAGCACTTCATGATCATTACCCCATAATGAGGATAAAAAATTATTATTTAAAAAATATTGACTTGCACTAAAGTTTGTTCATCCACTGTTACTTTGATACACAATTATTTATGCATCAAAACCTTAAGTACTCATACAGAATAATAAATATGTTTGATCCTCAATAGCTTAGAAAAAAACACAGAAACAGACAACAAATAAAGATGCTCAAAATTTTAAACAATTGTTTTTTAATGTACATTTTTTTCCAGTTTATTTTTTACATTTAAAATCTTTAACAAGGTTGTGAATTTATTATCAACTTAAAATCTGAAGAATTTGCTTCGCTCTGTCTTCTTTGTCACCAGATGTTTCTGTTATTAATCAAAGAAAATACATTAGTAAAAACTGAAGGTTTAACTAAAGGTAAGTTGTTTAGTTATTAAAGTGAAGTTTAGCTATTTAAAAAAAGTTTAGTTACTAAGAATTTTTATTCTAAGGAGAGTAAGTAGACAAATATTTGTGAATTTTACCTTTATTATCTTGCTTGTCATCATTAAGAATTTTTTGTGCATCTTCAACTGTTTTTTCTTTGGCCTTTCCCTTTAGTCCCTCCAAGTACTGCAGAACTAAGGTAAAATCTGAATCATTGATCTGAAAAAAAACACCATTTTTAGCAAGGCAATTTAGAAACTTTAATAATAGAAACTGTATTTAAAAGAAGTGTTAATGAATCTGGTGCTTATTATCTGCCATGATGTCAGATCTAAGCATACAATTCTTGAACACTTCTAAACTGTTCTGATTGTGTGTTTTACAAGGGTCTAGGCCAGACATTATCTCCCCCCCTCTCCCATCAACCTCCCCCACCCCACTCTGTCAATGTATTCTGCTCCCTTTTTATAAAACCATTAATAGTTCTGAAAAGCTCTCATTGAAGTTGTAACTCATTAAAAGTAACCAAAACAAAATAATGCACTACGTACCAAATTAGCATCATACATTACGTTGAGTAAACGAGTCTGAAGTAATTTGTTGAACTTCCAGGCAACTTTATCAGAACTCCACTGTCTGATGTAGTCGATGCACTTTTCATCACGAGATTTATCCGACTGCTTCTGGCTATCATTTGCGGCTGTTTTGTCTCCATTTTTCTTCTTCTTTTTTTTGACTTTCTTAATGTCTGTCTCCGTGGTTGCAGGTAAACTTTCTGTCCCTGGCAGACCAAGGTTGATTTCTGCTTGCTGTAAGATACTAGTATCCACCACACCCAACGTGCTATCACTGGACTGTTTGCTTTTCTTTTTCTTTGCTGGTTCTGTCCCCTGTTGTTCTGGGTTGTCTACCTTACTGGACTCGCGTTTTCTTTTCAAAGTATTGCTATCATGATGTGTGTCTTGGTTACTGTCGACAGATTTTGTTTTAGTTTTTTTCTTATCTTTCTTCACATCTGAGATGTTTTCTCCTTTAGTGCTATCTTGACTTGTGTCTAGACCACTGTCAACTTCGGCTTTAGCTTTTTTCTTCTTTTTCTTTACATCTGTATTTTTCTCTACTTTGTTGCTATCTTGACTTGTGGCTAGGCTATTCTCAATAACTTCAGCTTTAGCTTTTTTCTTCTCTTTCTTCACATTTGTATTTTCCTCTTCTTTACAGCTGTTTGTAGACTTCTGTTGCTGCTTCTTTCCAGACTTTGCCATCCTAATCAAAACCTAAGCCGTTATCAGATTAATTCTGTTAACCGGCTAACCTAAATGGGGAGTAAAAAAAATAATATTAGGCCTACATGAAGACCTAATAATTTAAGAGTGTGACGATTAAGTGAATTAGAGTGACAGAAAGATTGAGCATTTTAAGAGTGTAGTGAGTAAGTGAATGAAGAAAATCTCATCTGCCTATCTCCTCGACCGGGATTCAAAGGGATGACTCGAAATATTGTCCGTAAATTTTACTAGATTCTATAGTAATCTAGAGATCTATAGGCCCTATGATATATAATTATATATAGGCCTATACTAGATCTAGGTAAAATCTTAGTTTAGCGTCGTAAATTCCAACGTAGCTAGTAATGTGCGATGAAGGTAACTAATGAATATTTCTTTCATTTGGCCATATTTATGTCATATTTTACATAATATAACAGATAATTGAATAACAAATCACAATCCACGACAAAAACAATAAAAATATCCTGGAATAAACTTTAAACTACCCCGTTCGAGACAACAATGAGTAAATACAAGCAGCGGCTATGTTTCAAAAACCATAAATTGTCTATTCGCATGTCTTTTGTGTTGATTTTGTGGCTTAATATGATTGTTTTGTATTGATTTAATATATGCCTGGGGGTCGTCCATAAATGACGTCACAGCACACTCGTAGGGGGGAGGGGGGTCCGTAATTTTTTGACGTTGTGTGATGAGGGGGGGGGGGGAGTTAAGATGGTGCGACGTCACACTCTTGCATTTTAAAAAAGCTATGTTAGAATACGAATTTTAGACGTTATTTTGCGTTTTAGAAAACTGTTTTAATATATTGTAATTACAATTGATTAAAATACTCTATTTTGACATAGTTCAGACAAGATATTGGAAAAATATAGTTGTTTAAAAACAATTCAACTGCAATTTGGAGGGGGGGTGTAGGCTGAGGTGTGACGCAGAGGCGTAGCGATGGGAGGCAGGGGGGGCATATGTCCCCGGGCGCCGACCTTAGGGGGCGCCAAAATGGGTTGGAAAAAGTAATCGAAAGTTTGAGGGGGGGGGGGTGCAAATCGAAAGTTTGTCCCCGGGCGCCGAGAAGGGTCGCTACGCCTCTGGTGTGACGTCATTTTAGGGGGGGAGTCTGGCTTTTTGTGACGACGTGTGACGGAGGGGAGGGGGGTAAAAATCGTCAAAAAAAAGCGTGACGTCTTTTATGGATGACCCCTTGTATAGTAATTTTTCTTTTTTTAAAATATAGTTGACATGAATGACTAATAGACCTTTTCAGACTTAATAGTGTGCATCCAAGACCACAACAATTGTTGGGAGGTCGAACTTGTGAAAACTTTATTTGCAGTAAGCAAATCAATATTAGATTGCTCATAAATGACGTCGCTCTTAAGATAGTAATGACAGCGTGCATTATTACAGAGCAAACATATGAACATATTGTTTCAGATAGAAATTGTGATTTGTGGTGGCGAGAGGTTGAGTAGAACTCAGCGATGTGATTTTGGAGACGGGTCAGGGTTTTTTTTTTCGTGAAAACAGGGGATGGTTGTGGGAGAAAGACCAGCTGTAGAAGTATGACGCGTCATTCATTGGTGATCCATTTTCTCAGTGGGGACAATATAACTATTAAGAAGGGTCAAGAAATGTAAAAAAAGCATGCTGAGTCGCATTTCTTGAACCCCACCTTTTCATTCCCCCATGTCATGTACCGGTACCGCCGACCGTTAGGCTAATTTTATAGAAAAAAAAAACAAGCACTGCCGTTTTGACGTTTAAGCGACGTTTAATTTGATTACATAAGTTGGTGTTCATTACACAGCCCCTAACACATCTATCACTTGTCCATTTAAACGTACGTGGTTATTTCTGTAAGCTTGCTGTCTTGAGACTTTCGGCCCTTGAAAAATGTATTAAGCTCTCACCGTATAGAACTAGACTACCCATATTAAGCTCCAAAAGAAGCTTGGTGAAAACAGGATGCCCGTCCGATTTTGAAGCTGCTCTGCGCTTTATAAAAGGCACCATAAACGATAAGATGACACTTATATTAAAGTAAATTATAGTTCTGAATCTTGATACATATATTCGGAAATTAAGAGCCAGACAGTCAACATGATATTTCAATTTAAGTCCACGAAAATAAATTTCCTCAAACCATGGAACATTACTAAATTTTCGCGCAGTTTAGCGAAATTGAATTTAAGTATTTACGTCATCTTACAAAGCGCGATAGCCTACTGTTGCTCTAACGCGGCCCATGCTAATGGCCGTATTCCTAACGCCCCGCATTCGACGCGGCTTATTCGTCGGCAGGCATTTGGTGGCAAGCCTTTTTTGACGGGGATAATGTGTTGAGGCCGTTTTGCCAAATGTCTTAAACTAGCAGGCTTGCAATATTCGTGATGATTCGTTTTGAGCAAGGTATACATATAGTAATGCTTATTTATCGTTATTTTGATTGAACAAAGCATTATAGAGGCTCTCCGTCAACCACCTAGGTATTTTCCCCCGTTCACCTCCTTTCATGATACCGACACATCATAATTTGCAGAGCCGCCTGAGTTGACGCCACAAATCTTCACTCACTCCCGTAGCAAATCAGATGTGACATCATTTATGGACAACCCCATATCACGCACTTGGGTACTTGATATTGACAATTTGACAACAAAGGATAACCAAAATGTGTCTGGCAGGTGGAGACTTGCGATCGACCATAATGACAACACGCACTTAAGGGGTGGACTGGCTCATTGTTTTAGATGATGTTTTACGAGGGAAGCTGGTGGATAACACATTTAATGTTGTCAAAATTATGGTTAGAGATCTTAGATAAGGCAGAGTGAAGCATAATTTTTTACATTATGACTTGTTGTGACATTGACAACAAAATATGGCGGAGGTTGGGGTTTAATTAAGGTAAAGAGAAGTAAAAAAATGTCATAAGTTACGATAGAATCACTAATTGATGAAAAGAAAAACCTGAAATGAAAATAGTGAACATTCAAACAATAAGAAAAAACTCAAACTATATAGTAATAGTAAGATCAAATAAACAATAGTAAAAAAAACGTGATTTAATACATGGATACAAGTTGCACACAATGCTTCTAGAATTAATAAAGTTGTTTGTTGGGAAATTCAGTTTTTAAAGGGCAGAATTTAAAAAAAAAATGCTTTGTAATACGGACTATACAAGACAATCATATTTAAATACATTTTCATACTAATAGAAATGAAAGGGAAGCTACTCTAAATAACATTTTCTTAAGATGGCTGCTGTTTAGCAAATTTACTATCTCGAACAGGGTTGATAAAAATTAATTTCAGGATACTTAAATTGATTTAACCATAAATTGTGATCTATTATTCAATTATCTATAATATTTTATCAAAATATACGAAAATATACTCATATTTAATGATATATTCATTAATTCTCTCTCTCCCACATTACTAGTTTTGGCCGAATTTACGACGCTAAACTAAGATTTTACCCTAGATCTCTCTAGATCTATATATACCTATCCTATGTCGAAGGATTTTTTTTTATACCAGTTGAGTGTCACAGTGTCTGAGTGTAGTGTCTGATTTTTAAAAATCTTTAAAAAACTAGACTAGGACATCGCCATCCTCAACCATCACTTTTTTAAAGCAAGCCTGATCTCTAAATCTAGCTCTAGAATCTAGATTTAAATTGAATTTCAATTAGGGCTTACCTGACCTAGAGATATAGATCTAGCTCTAGCTACTAGCTAGAATTAGAGCCGATTTATTTTGAACACACAGGAACCACATGCAATTTTTTTCACCCTAGCAAGTGAAAGTAAAAGTAGAACGTCGTTTATTGGCCTAAAACTAAATAAAGCGGGAGTGATCTCCCCTAAACTTTCTCGCAAGCTTAAGAAAAAGTAAAACAAATAAAGGGGGAATATCCCTTCAGTGAGATCGGTCTACAGAATTGTTTTATTAATTTGTTTGATACTTGAAAAAAGATTTGCGCACCAAAATGAACGCAAACAGCGTGTGTTTAATAGTATAGAGTGGAAATTAGTAATTTACAAAGGAAACATTGATCAATTTATAAAACGTTAATTGGACATCTAATTCAGCCCAACGTCGAAATTTGTAAAAATCTCGATTTCAAATTTTTGCTCGATTGCAATTACTTCCACTACAATTCGTATATGAGAAAAAAGAAAATGATTGAGTTGCATAATTATATAGGCTTGCATTCAGAACTATTCCGCCTCACTGAATATATCATATCAAATTAAGTGTTTCTTCCTGACTTTTTTATCCGGGGGGGGGGGGGGGGGGGGAGGGGGGGGGGGCATTTGAAATTTTCGGGGGGGGGGGGGGCGGACTAAAATTTCCGGGGGTTCGGACACTGTTAAAGTATATATTTTCTATATAAATTCCATTTTGTAGACTTCTTCGGGGGGGGGGGGGGGGGCTAAAGAGATGCCTGGAAGAAACGCTGATCAAATTCTCAAAGGTAGATTATAACCTTTTAAAACTAAGAAATCGTTCTTCGATTATTAGTATACTTTCTCGCAATTACAGATCATAGCATCAACGTTATAGGATATAATTAATATTTATAGCCGTGAATGGTCATCTAAAATAATTAAGAAAATTTATCTCGTCAAATCAAATCAAAGTAATCTTCATACAAGTTTAAAGTGAACTGAGTCTAGTACGGGACAGTCTAATTTATTTTCGTATTTGTTTCCGTCATTAGTTTAGCTGAAGACTTAGACCATACCTAAAAGTTGATCAATGGTTTTGTTTGTTCTAAATTTAGACTTGTATTGAACTGATGGGCACCAATCGTGAACAGAGATTTGATTCGCCTATTTATGGTGCAGTTGATGCCAAGAAAAGTGAAGTAATAATATGTGCTTAATTTGTGCGGATTAGCTGTTGCAAGAGTTTAGTCGATTAAGTGGCTATCCATATTAACTAGGGTGATTGGTTCGTTGTTCTTTTAAATCATTTCTTTGACTAGTCTTCTAGTCTACAGTATACATTTTCACTAACTCATGCCCAGTCTTCTAGTCTACAGTATACATTTTCACTAACTCATGCCCAGTCTTCTAGTCTACAGTATACATTTTCACTAACTCATGCACAGTCTTCTAGTCTACAGTATACATTTTCACTAACTCATGCACAGTCTTCTAGTCTACAGTATACATTTTCACTAACTCATGCCCAGTCTTCTAGTCTACAGTATACATTTTCACTAACGCTTGTCCATTTCTAGATCTAGAATCTATATAGGCCATTGTCTTCTGCTTAAAACATTATTTCTTTGACTTTCCCAGTTCTACAGTCTTGTGTATAAAACATCCCCTATAACTCTTAACTCCTCTGTGCTGCAATCAGAGGCGTAGCGAGGGGGGGGGGGGGCTGGGGCACGGACCGCACCGGGTGACACCAACGCAAAAAATAGTAAAATATATAGAGAAAAATTTGAGGGGGGGGGGGGTGCAAATCGAATATTGAAAGTTTGTCCCTGGGAAGAGTCGCTACGCCTCTGAGGGGGTGACACCATTAAGTGCCGCACCGGGTGACACCCGACCTCGCTACGCCATGGCTACAATCAACAATATAAAATTTCACAACACACGGAACCGTAAATCACGCACAAGGTAAAATGAGACCAGTCTAAAAATTCATTCACTGGGTGTTAATAAATTTTTGTTTTCACAGAACTTGGTCAGGATGTGTTAATGATGTAAAGACACATGGTACGATAGAAATGTTCTGTAACGTAAAGCACACACTCAAGGTATGTTCTAGTCTTTGGAAGTGGTCACAATTTTTAATGCAGATTTTTACACGCTTTCATGTGGCCATGCATGAACAAAGCTTTCTTGTCCGCACCCCCTCCCCCACCCCCACACCTCTAAAACCTCACCACTCCTCGCTTTCCCCAGATTTTTTTTTTTTTTTTTTTTTTTTTTTTGCGTACGATTCAATCGGGTTGTTTCCCCTTCTGTAACGGGATGTTACCAATCTTTGCTGGGTTTGCAGAAAATATTGAGTCGTTTCCCTTGAAGATAAAAGATATTCCTTGTCGCAAATGTTAAACTGGTTGATTTAACCGAAAACATCTTCAATAACTATTTAAAGTTCAACATTCAACATTCCCGTGAAGAGTAGATTTCTTTAACGATTGTAATTAAAATTTACAACAAATTAGTGAATTACAAAAAGAACCCTCTCTTAGTGTAAAGTAATTTATTGACGACCCCCTAATTCAATATTAAGCTAAATAAACATGTTTTTGAATTGTGCACTACTGTTATTGTTGCAGATTTAATTTAGTTAATGAGGTACAGTCTTAAAAACGAAACCTTTTTTAAAAATCCTAGATGATAGCTTGATTCAGATATTGAAAAATATTGTAATTTTATGAAGTGTTCTTTTCCCGTTTTTGTCCAAGTCACATTGGGGTAGATGAAATAGAGTTCATCTGTTTCAATCACCTCGACGTACGAGGTGATACAATATAATACTCGAATGTTTTCAGTTAGAGGTGTTTATATTGTTAGTCCGGTTGTGATACAGTATAATACTTGAACGTTTTTTTGTTAGAGGTGTTTATATTGTTAGTTCTGTTGTGATACAGTATAATACTTGAATGTTTTTGTTAGAGGTGTTGATATTGTTAGCCCTGTTGAAATACAGTATAATACTTGAATGTTTTTGTTACAGCTGTTGTGATACAGTATAATCTATAATAATAGTTTCGCTGTCTGTGTATGTATCTATCTATCTGACAAGAACGCTCTGTCTGACAAGAACGCTCTAGAGAAAACATAAGAAAAAATTCTATCTGACAAGAACGCTCTAGAGAAAACACAAGCAATTTAAAAACATGCATAGTATTTCGAAAGACGAAGTATGACGTCGACACATTTAGCATGTAGTTGAAAATAATCTCAAGGCGGAAAGTGCACACAGTAATATAATGACGTCATTGATTATCGCGTAAACATTGAATACAAAGGAAATGTTGTCTGATCTAAATGGTTTGCGTGAAGAGTTTCTTGCATACAATTCTTCGGGTAGGGGCGAAGCCCCACCCCACGCGTAAGAACGTCTGAGCCCCCCCCCCCCTCCCCAACTCAAAAGAAATTTCTTCATCGATACTCTATAATAAAATTACCGCCTAATTAATGTGTCTAATCTAAAAAGTGGTTTTCTCGCAATTTCTTTAATGCAATTCTTCGCGTAGTGGCTAAGCGCGACACCAGTGTTTCTTTCAGACTTTTTCCTCCCCGGAAAGGGGAGGGGGGTACTTGGAATTTTCGGGGGGCGGGTGTTTTTTTAGCGGGGATGGGTGGGGGGTGGGGGGGGGGGGTGGTGTGTGGGGGGGGGGGGGGCTGGGGTGAGTGGGGGGGGGGGGTTAATTTAGACTTTTCCCTCCCCGGAGAGGGGTGGGGGTACTTGAAATTTTCGGGGGCGGGTGTAGAATTTTCTGGGAGGGGGCGGACACTGGAAAAAGTATATAATTATATTTCGTTGAATGGGACGGTAGACATGTTTTTTTTAGGGGGGGATGGGTGGGGGGTGGGGGGGGTGTGGGTGGGGGGGCTGGGGTGAGTGGGGGGGGGGGGGTTTAATTTAGACTTTTTCCTCCCCGGAGAGGGGTGGGGGTACTTGAAATTTTCGGGGGCGGGTGTAGAAATTTCTGGGAGGGGGCGGACACTGGAAAAAGTATATAATTATATTTCGTTGAATGGGACGGTAGACATGTTTTTTGGGGGGTGGGGTGGGGGGTGGGGGTGGGGGGTGGGGGGGGGGGTGGTGTGTTTTGGGGGGTGGGGGGGTGGGGGTGGGTTTTAGTTTAGAGAAAAGAGACAGCACTATCAACCTAGCGCCCGGTGTATCCTTCCTCAACGTGCCATTTTTCTCGTACTTGAATGTTTTTGTTACAGCTGTTGTGATACAGTATAATACTCGAATGTTTTTGTTACAGCTGTTGTGATACAGTATAATACTTGAATGTTTTTGTTACAGCTGTTGATATTGTTAGCCCTGTTGTGATACAGTATAATACTTGAATGTTTTGTTGTTACAGCTGTTCATATTGTTAGTCCTGTTGTGATACAGTATGATACTTGAATGTTTTTGTTACAGCTGTTGATACTGCTGGTCCCGTTGTCTGGAGATTGCGTCGAGGTCTGTACGTTGGAGAAACAACCCACCACTTACGCCCAGTACCAAGCTTGGTACCAGAGGATCTCAGATGCAACGAACTACGACTTTCCTAAACCTGACCCAATGAACGAGTTCGAACAAAGCCCCCTCTGTGGTCAGACTCTAGTTGACCAGTCGCAGGCCATTATAATGGGCGAGGAAGCTCCAGCGAATGCTTGGCCGTGGTACGTCTATCTCGAGACCAAACATGGGGCATGTGGGGGCTCCATCCTCACGGAGTGGTGGATCCTAACAGCCGCGCACTGCGTGAAAGACTTAAACCTTACTCTCGTGGTTTACTTTGGATTAGCTGCTGTGTCACAACTAAAAACGGCACTATATATAAAAGCGGAGAAAATGTTTACGGAATCCTACGCCCAAGGCGGAAGGATACACGATGATATCATGCTTGTGAAGCTCGAGACTCCGATAAACTTCACTGACGCAATCAGGCCCATCTGCTTGCCTGATAAGGACATGAGCGACTCGAAAACTTGTTTTAGTATTGGATATGGAATGACCAAACGCGGGGGAGGAGGTTCTAAAAAATTAATGCAAATAAAAACCAACCCCTTGAATAATAAAATGTGCCGGTTTTTACTAGGTCAGTTTGCTGGCTTGTACAATATAGAAAAGTTAATTTGCGTCGACGAGGAACTCGGTCAAGGCATATGTCTGGGTGATTCTGGGGGGCCAATGGTTTGTAAGGAACGTGAAAAATATTTTATCGTCGGCGAATTCACTTTAACGTTTGAGTGCGGACAAGCAGAGTTGCCGTCCGCTGTGACGTCAGTGTATGCCTGGTTGGATTGGATTAAAAACACAATCAAATCAAACTCGTTCGAAACATTTTAGATTTGAAAAGCTTTACAATCTTTGTTGATTATAATTCAATACAATCACATGCTGTAGCAGGATATGTTACGGTCAAAGTCAGAAGTGAGCAGTGTTTCTTGTGATTTTTCCAGACTTTTTTCTCCGGGGGGGGGGGGGGGGGGGGGGGGATAAAAATTTCCGGGGGGCGGACACTGTTAAAAAATATATTTTCTATATAAATTCCATTTGGGGGGGGGGCGTAGACTTTCTTCGGGGGGTGGGGTGTCCGCCCACCCGAAGAGATGCCTGGAAGAAACTCTGGAAATGAGGCAAATTGTATGAATGAGCATTCAAATTTAATGCTCTAAAGAATTATTTACTTTGATTTCTCTGAGTGAAAAGATAGTTTGGTTTAAATGCCGTGGTCGAAATTTTAAACTGTGTACATGTTTCGTGTGAGCTATTAGTTTTCATTTACGGACGAACCGTACCCAATTTTTGTGTGGGTTTTAAACAGAAAACGCCAACTAGTATCCTAAAATCTAACATATAATCTCGATACATTCTTACAATTCCTGTGATGTATAATAAAATCGGTTACACTCTAAAAGAATTCGAGGTTTTAAAAATGTATTGGTAACTTTTTAGCGACGATGTACATTATATGACTTCAGTTACTGTTGTATATCTGTCCACGATTCTGAAAGATTATCGGATTATCTAATACGATTGTTCCGTTGTGAAAGGTGTTTTACATTACAATGCTTATTACATTTTATAATAAAGTTTGTTACGTTTCTTTTATTTATTTAAGGAAAAAAATGATATTATTGTTCAAAGCCCAGTTCAATTTCCTTAAATTGAGCCAGGTACGCATCAGAGCTGGGTCGACCCGGGGGGTGTTACAGAAACTAACGGGGTAAGGAGTCGAGCGCTCTACCAAACGACGACTCTGTAGTATTGGCAGGAAAGAGTGGGGGGTGTTAAAAGAGTTTTGAACACTTCCCCCTTTGGATCTCAAACGAACATTTCCTAAATGACTAGCCATATGTTTATTAACTGTAATCTTATTTTTGTAGTGAGTGCGTTTATGTATCTGTCGCTCCAAGTTAGATTCAATCACTGATTAAGGCTTGTTTATGTCTAGGGTGGGTGTATATTTAAACCCTGGTGTAGGATTTATTTAAATCAAGATTTAGGTTTGTTGAACCTGTAGGTTTAGGTTAGTTAAAGGTTTAGGATTTTATAGAGCTCATGTATTATTTTTCCTAACGAAAGATGTAACCTAATGACAATTTAGATTGTATTTGTGTATTAATGACATTATTTTCTAACTTAATTTTTATTCACTTTTAGTATCGAAATGACTGTGATGGCTTTTTTTACTTTCTCGTATATACGTAGTATAGAGAAAGTCTTGTAATCGTGCAAAAAAAAAAAAAAATCGAGATTTTTACAAATCTCGACGTTTTACACCTCACTGATACGGAAAAACATAATTTTGCAATCTTGTCCGTATGTCTGTGTGTCTGTGTGTGTCTGTGTGTGTGTGTGTAAACACGATTACTTGAGTACCGTTACAGCTAGGTTGATGAAATTTCATATATAAGTATTTTATCAAAATCGTAGATCCGTATCAACTTTTGAGCGATTTCCGATAACCGGAAGTGGTACTTTTTCTACTTTGAATTTTTCAAAAGCCTATAACTTGAGTACTATTTCAGATAGATAAATAAAATTTCACATTAAGTAAAAGATCTACTTCTCTACCTTCTGTTAAATTTTGAGTAATTTCCGTTGACGGGAAGTACTAATTTATGCTATTTCCGATTTCTCATAAACGCATCTAAATTTATAAAGTACTAATAATATTGCGCACCATTATGAACATCTTTATTCGGCGTTCGCTTGGTGTGCAATACTTTTTTCTATGAGATTCTATTTTATTTTAAAAAGTTTATGTTTTTAAAATGGATTAAAAATCATAACTATATCCCGAGTTCCCATCCCCTGTTGTTTTATATAAAAATATTCGAGAAAGTTTAGGGGAGATCACTCCCGGTTTATTTCTAACTGAAGCTTTGGTGAAATTAGTTCGAATAGTGCCGTAAGTCATTTGTAAATCAAGTTACTTAAACTATAAAAACAAAAACTCCAAAACACTGAAGTACAGTCAAAAATGGTTTTAATCACAACTCTTGAAAAAGATGGAAAGAAGGGGTGCAGCTTGATACAATATAACGTTGATATAGACATACAATGGATCATTTGTACACTCGAACTTGAAACAATGGAACAGACTAATACAACATAACGTTGATATAGACATACAATAAATCTTTTGTACACTCGAACTTACAACAATAGACCAGCTTGATACAATGTAAAACATATATAGACATACAATGGATCAATGGTACACTCATACCATAAAATAATAGACAAGACGGATACAATATAACTTAGATATAGACATACAATGAATCACTTGTACACTCGTATCATGTAACACAAGAACTGAAAATACGTCCGTGTCAAATTGTTGTTGGTAAAACGTAAAATTCGGTTCCATGGCCTAGGAGTGACCACACAAAGCTCAATAAATTGTTTCTTAGTTGCACAATTCAAGTATTCTTTAAAAATGTTTGAAGGATTCTAAGACATTTAAAAAAAAATCATATTTTCTTGCAACCACAATCCTGACTTCAGCATAAAAAAAACTCAGCAACAAATTCCACAAGAACCCATGTTTAAGTCGAATCTCGCTTGAGTAAATATTACATTAAAAACACAAGACAGAAAACTAAAGCAAAAAATCGCTGCATTATTTTTGTTGTTGTCAACAGAAGGAGTCACAATAAATAGCGAAAACAAAATAAAGCGTCGTTAAATAATTCAGGAGTAAGGTGACTGTATCAGTTTTTATTTGCATTCTTCAATCAAGCTGACAGCCGGTGACAATGGACCTCATAGTACAAGTCACAAAGAACAGTTATAAACATTGAGAATAATACAAGGTAAATCACAAATTATGGCGGTGTAACTGATATTTAGGTAAGTTATATAGAATGAGATGCAAGTCAAGACAGATTATATAGTAATTAATTAACATTCTTACCATACATTATTGTTAGGGTCATGTACAACCAAATTGTGATATTATTTTGGAAATAAGAGCAATACAGACAGTGGATGTTAGTTCAATGATGCAGCTTCTTTCTGTACTTTATTAACCCAACCTATGTTCTATACAAATAATCACAACCTCTACCCACACAACCTCTAGCCACACAACCACAACCACTACCCACACAACCTCTACTCACACCTCTACCCACACAACCACAATCTCTACCCACACAACCTCTACCCACACAACCTCTACCCACACAACCTCTAAACACAACAATCTCTACCCACACAACCTCTACCCACACCTCTACCCACACAACCTCTACCCACACAACCTCTACCCACACAACTGCTACCCACACAACCTCTACCCACACAAGCTCTACCCACACAACTGCTACCCACACAACCTCTAAACACAACAATCTCTACCCACACAACCTCTACCCACACCTCTACCCACACAACTGCTACCCACACAACCTCTACCCACACAACCTCTACCCACACAACCTCTACCCACACAACTGCTACCCACACAACCTCTACCCACACAAGCTCTACCCACACAACTGCTACCCACACAACCTCTACCCACACAACCTCTACCCACACAACCTCTACCCACACAACCTCTACCCACACAACCTCTACCCACACAACCTCTACCCACACAACCACAATCTCTACCCACACAACCTCTAAACACAACAATCTCTACCCACACAACCTCTACTCACACCTCTACCCACACAACCACAAGCTCTACCCACACAATCTCTACCCACACAACCTCTACCCACACAACTGCTACCCACACAACCTCTACTCACACCTCTACCCACACAACCTCTACCCACACAACCTCTACCCACACAACCTCTACCCACACAACCTCTACCCACACAACTGCTACCCACACAACCTCTACCCACACAACCTCTACCCACACAACCTCTACCCACACAACCTCTACCCACACAACCTCTACCCACACAACCTCTACCCACACAACTGCTACCCACACAACCTCTACCCACACAACCTCTACCCACACAACCTCTACCCACACAACCTCTACCCACACAACCTCTACTCACACCTCTACCCACACAACCTCTACCCACACAACCTCTACTCACACCATTAACCCACACAACCTCTACCCACACAACCTCTACTCATACCTCTACCCACACAACCTCTACCCACACAACCTCTACCCACACCTCTACCCACACAACTGCTACCCACACAACCTCTACTCACACCTCTACCCACACAACCTCTACCCACACAACCTCTACCCACACAACCTCTACCCACACAACCTCTACCCACACAACCTCTACCCACACAACCTCTACCCACACAACCTCTACCCACACATCTACCCACACCTCTACACACACAACCTCTACCCACACAACCTCTACCCACACAACCTCTACCCACACAACCTCTACCCACACAATCTCTACCCACACAACCTCTACCCACACATCTACCCACACCTCTACACACACAACCTCTACCCACACAACCTCTACCCACACCTCTACCCACACAACCACAATCTCTACCCACACAACCTCTAAACACAACAATCTCTACCCACACAACCTCTACCCACACCTCTACCCACACAACTGCTACCCACACAACCTCTACCCACACAACCTCTACCCACACAACCTCTACCCACACAACTGCTACCCACACAACCTCTACCCACACAACCTCTACCCACACAACCACAATCTTTACCCACACAACCTCTACCCACACCTCTACCCACACAACTGCTACCCACACAACCTCTACCCACACAACCTCTACCCACACAACCTCTACCCACACAACTGCTACCCACACAACCTCTACCCACACAACTGCTACCCACACAACCTCTACCCACACAACCTCTACCCACACAACCTCTACCCACACAACTGCTACCCACACAACCTCTACCCACACAACCTCTACCCACACAACCTCTAAACACAACAATCTCTACCCACACAACCTCTACTCACACCTCTACCCACACAACCACAAGCTCTACCCACACAATCTCTACCCACACAACCTCTACCCACACAACCTCTACCCACACAACCTCTACCCACACAACCTCTACCCACACCTTTACCCACACAACCTCTACTCACACCTCTACCCACACAACCTCTACCCACACAACCTCTACCCACACAACCTCTACCCACACAACCTCTACCCACACAACCTCTACCCACACAACCTCTACCCACACAACCTCTACCCACACAACCTCTACCCACACAACCTCTACCCACACAACCTCTACCCACACAACCTCTACCCACACAACCTCTACCCACACAACCACAATCTCTACCCACACAACCTCTACCCACACATCTACCCACACAATCTCTACCCACACAACCTCTACCCACACAACCTCTACCCACACAAGCTCTACCCACACAACCTCTACCCACACAACCTCTACCCACACAACCTCTACCCACACAACCTCTACCCACACAACCTCTACCCACACAACCTCTACTTACACAACCTCTACCCACACAACCTCTACCCACACAACCACTACCCACACAACCTCTACCCACACAACCTCTACCCACAAAACCATTACCCACACAACTGCTACCCACACAACCTCTACCCACACAACCTCTACCTACACCTTTACCCACACAACCACAATCTCCACCCACACTACCCGACGTCTGACATTATAACCACAACACAAACTTGACTTCAGTATAATGACATCACCATTGAACATTTTAAAAACATTGTAGCTCATTGATCAGTTCTGATGGAGGATAATAATACCTTTAGCTTTAGATATTTTAGATTTAATATTTTTTACTACTCATATATTTCAGATTTGGATATATTTGGGCAACATGTTTTTAGTGTTAATATTATCGTATCCAACGGTTTAATATAAAAAATGAGCATGGTACTTAATCATACATTGTGTGTGCTCGTGGTTTAGGATCTGCAACCTCAGTAACCTAACCACAACTTTAACCTAAAGCCTACACAAACTTATGTCCAACGACTGCGGGTAGGTTGCACAGATCGGCATCTAAGGCCGCCATACGTTCGCACATGCATGTTGTTTGTGTAGCGTCTAAACAAAGCAAACTACATGTGTTGAGTTCTTATGCCCCTGGCTTTCATTATCTACCCTTCACTCTAGGTCTTCTACATTCTGCCCATATTTTTCTTGTAGCGTCTAAACAACGCAAACTGTCCCCTCTTATAAACAAAACCCAAAGCAGTTCAACATTCAGCATGTTACGTCACTCCATCATATAATGTATAAGAGTAAATATCTAACAATGTTGGCTGTTACATTAATCATATCGACCAAATATTTTCTTACACACTGATTTCTTCTGCTGTATGGCATCAAAGAACATGGAAAAAACAGATTAAAAAAAATTATTATAAAACTTGATTGTTGAGCTAGAATAAAAACTGGTTTTAAAGAAATATTTTTAATAGTTACATTTATTCTACGATCACTCACGTTAAAGCAAGGATAAGTAATGATGGATAAAAACAATTAATAACTGAAATGCATTTGTAGTTGAGAAAAAAAAACGTAGACTTGTAACTGGAAAAATGATAACTTCATTTTTTTTAAAGAAGAATTAAAACATGTATCTCCCATTTAGCATTTACTTTATAGACACAATTAAACTAGTTTATATTTTCATTAATTTCGCTAGTAAAATATAAAACTATTCAGTCTTTATTATTTTTTATTATCGACCCTACTTTATGCCATCAAAAAATTGTAATATTATTTTTATTACCTAAAGCAGCCCAGGCATCAAAATTTGATGTCTTTAGTCCAGTCATCAAAATTTGATGTCTTTAGTCCAGGCATCAAAATTTGATGTCTTTAGTCCAGGCATCAAAATTTGATGTCTTTAGTCCAGGCATCAAAATTTGATGTCTTTAGTCCAGTCATCAAAATTTGATGTCTTTAGTCCAGTCATCAAAATTTGATGTCTTTAGTCCAGTCATCAAAATTTGATGTCTTTAGTCCAGGCATCAAAATTTGATGTCTTTAGTCCAGGCATCAAAATTTGATGTCTTTAGTCCAGGCATCAAAATTTGATGTCTTTAGTCCAGGCATCAAAATTTGATTTCTTTAGTCCAGGCATCAAAATTTGATGTCTTTAGTCCATGCATCGAAATTTGATGTCTTGAGTCCAGTCATCAAAATTTGATGTCTCCTCAATAAATATTCGAATCTATTACACTTGTATGATAAAATTACGTCTATGGAATATAATGACCTCAAACGATAAATATTTTGTAAAAACACATAGAGCTGACCATCTTCGCTAATGTTCGTAATAGTTCTAAAAGAAACATCATCATACAATGGCAAGTAACAGCAGTTGTGTAGGGCAAATCAAATGAGTTAAATAACTAAACAGACAACACATTTTTTTAAAAATCAGCAACATTCAAATTGCCAATGTGGTCAGTCATACTTTACCAAATAGCCAGGTAAAAAAAAAACATGCCAAAATAAATAAAGAAGACCAGCCCGGCACAAAAATGTATTCAAAATGTCAATACATAATCAATTATGTGTGAGCGTATTCAAGAAAGCGATGCATTTAACGTGAGCAGTTTCTGGAGTCAAAGTTGAAGAGAAATGCGCATCAGCAATGAGAAGGAAAAAAAAAACATTATTTGAAGTGTAAAAGACCAGTTTTGACAAAAACCAAAGCCAGCTTTGGCATTGAGACATCGAGGATTGGTGTATTTACATCAGTGGGGTTTGTGAGAGATAGATTTATGGAAACCGGAATAAATTAAACTACTTTTCCCTTGAAACATTGACGTACGCGAGGAGGATGAAGAAACTGTTGCACTACATTGTTCGTACAGCGGAATTCATTAAGATTAAATTGAATTATATAAATAAGAATTATTTCTTGTTTAATTTCATGCAAAAAAATTTCTTAGAAAATATTGGTTAAATGAAATATGTTTATTAAGTTTATAAATTAATTATAAAAATTTAAATTAAACGCTTTTATTTAATCCATAACAATCTTATTTTAAACATTCTTAATTTGCAACTATTAATACATTTTGAAAACATTTTAAAAACCATATTCGTACTTTTTACTTTTTAACACCGCAATTACCCTTACAAATTTTATAAACTTCAGGAGTAAATTACATTAATTAATTAGTGGACCTAATTTTTAAACCAATTAAACAAGCACCAGCATACAAAATGACAATTTGTAGCAAGTCTTTAAAAAAATTTCAGCACTTTCGTTCATTAAATAATTTATGTCATTTAAAATATGAGAACGTCTTTTTAAATTTAAAAAAAAAGGAAAATATACATTATAATAATAATGTAAGTTTTTGTTATTTGAAAAGTTAATTAAAGTATAAAGACAGCTTTTATAACACATTTAGCCAAGATTTTAAAGTTCTGTGTTTAAAGTTTTTGGTTACTTTATATATTATAAGCCATAAATATTAAAATAGCTTAGTGAAAAACACAACAAAAAACTTTATAAATATTTTAGCGCAAAATAAAAACAAAACAATGACCATTACAGTTCCAAACTTATTTCTCAATTATTATTTCTTTTATAGAATTATTATTAGGTTCTATGTTTTGGTTACCTAAATTTTAAAATATTTTTCCGAACATTAAAGTAAAACCTTTATAACATACACTGTGATAAGAATCTTAAGGCAATGTTGTATTAAATTCTAAAAAACGTTCAAGTTAACAAATCTTAAAAGTAAAAAAAAAAATGCAAAAACAATTACTAAATTTAAAAAATAAAGTGTTACTAATTTGTTTAAAAACGTCGCAAAAACGTTTCACGTCATTCATAAAAACTCCAAAACATTATTTACTCTTTTAGGTCGCTTCTGTATTGTGCCTTTTAAAAATACCATGACTTGACTTCGTATACTTTAAGCATCATTTTGGTTGTCTAACGCCTCAGTGCATTGACCGCTGTGGACTAAGTCTATGTCTTCAGGCTCTGTTGGCTTGTGAATGTGTATCGTAACAACTGGAACCTTCAATTGTCTGCAAGTAGAAGCAATGGCAGGCTAACACAGGTTAAAGAATTATTTATGATACATACACATTGCCAATACATTTATATTTGTTACATTTACAATAAACATTATGTGAGAATGATTAATTTTAAGTTCATAATGTTCGCTCATATAATCTCAGCATAAATGCTTAAAACCAGCATTCATATCATGTAGTAAAAATATAGTAATTCAAAATTAAATAAATTAGACTTAAATAATTAAAAATGTAAGTTAAACTTTACCATATGTTTAAAAAAGCTTTAAATGAGAAAAAATAAAAAAAAAATAAATTAAATGTGCACGATTAAAAAACCTGAACCATTAAATTTGCACCATTAAATGTGAACCATTTAATTTGCACCATTTTGATACGCCCTTTGAAGCAGAGGGTTTGTGTGATGAGTAAAACATTGTTGGCAAAAGCAGTTCTTTGGAAGATTAACAAAACATCAAACATATCAAGCCCATTTTTTTAAAAAAAGTGTATGCCCGTATCTAATTATAAGAAAAAATATCATTACTTTTAACACATATATTTCGTTATATTTTAATCTTATCCTCAATATGTTTCCTGTATTGTTACATTTACTTGAGCAGAATAATATATATTATTGTTTCCTATATTTCTAACTAATTTTATATATTTTTTTTATAATTTGTAGAATTAAACATATTTTCTTTTACAGTTTCACCATAACTCTTTGTAACTTTTCCTATGTATCATTATCAAAATTAAAATAATTATCAAGTTAATAATGTCTAATAACAACATCATTAATGGACTTTTTTGAGAGTTCAACAATTAAAAAAGTGTTGAAAAAAAAGTGCTTTGTAAAAAACAAATCGGTATTATTCACAACAACTAGAGCAAAAACAAATATTTTATATGTATTATGGTAAGAACGAAACTATGAGATTGTTGTTCTGCGTTTCATTTTTTTTCTTTAATATAGGCTTATTTCTAAAACTGGGCAACGTATTATTTATTCACCAACAGGCCTACTAAATGTAAGGAACAACAGCTTTTGATACTTACATGAGGCGCCAGGTACCATCCGACTAATGTAGCAGTTTTTAGAAAAGTTGATGACAAGCTCGAGCAATCAGATATTTAATCATGCATTGTGCAGAGTAGGGGGAAAACGAGAAAAATTCAAAATCTAGGTTAAATTAGACCCTGCTAATTCATACAAATGTGTTTATTATATAAACATGATATAAATTTTACTTTGTAGTTTAGTTCGCTGACCCCCCCCCCCTCATAATAATTACTTGAATTTCTGCATTCATACACCTGTCTCTCTTTATGATTATCTGCTAGTTTTTGAGTTATTTTATATTTGACTAGCTTTCCACTAAGTTACAATAAATAATGTGAGCACTTTTAGCGTTTTATTATTTTCATGTTTGGGTTTGGATTTAAGTTTTTACAGTACATTTAATTCCATATATATATATATATATATATATATATATATATATATATATATATATATATATATATATATATATATATATATATATATATATATATGACACCTATTTATAGCACATGTAAAGAATGAAATAATTAATGCAACGTATAAATAATAGATCTGATCACAACCATACATAAAATCTCATATTTTCAAAAACAGAAATGAAAAAATTATGAACATTTTACAAAGAAAACATTAAAAATGCTGATGTTAACATTCTTTCTGTAAAAATAAAATATATATGTTAGAGGAAAAAAAAGGTGTAATATAATTCATGTGTATTCAAGTTGAATCGAGGGCATACATCAATTTAAAAATGTGAATAGATGTACAGATCATTTGTGCGATTAGCATTCAAAGATGAACAAAAATAAATAAATAAAAGATAATTAAATATTTTAGCAATCAATAATTAATAAATACAATTGAAATGAGAAGTATGTGTAAGGTGAAATTTAAAAAAAAAATCAATTTTAGCATGAGAAAAATTGAGTTAAAAAATATACTTAGATTACAGAGTCAATTTTGCCGGATACTCAAAATGCACTTAAATAATCGAGTTAGGGACTGTAACTCGCTGAGACAAAGGAAGAGGTTGTACATCTTTTTTTTTTTTAGAAAATGTGCTAGCTTCCGTACAGTCCGCACTGAACTTACTGATCCTTTGATGTAATGTCCAAACTATCTTCCATCTTCGCTAGAGGCACTTCTTCCTCGGTCGTCACGGACGTCCTGTGGGGGGATTTCGTGAAGGACCCTCGACCTTCCTCCCCTCCTCTTAGACTCTTCCGACTCTCGCTATCGGGCGTGCGCACGTCGCCGGCCCTACCATTGAGGGACTGGGGGTGGTGACGCATGGATTCACGCTGTTTGCTGCGGATGCTGCCTTTCTCGTCCTGCTCCGATTCTGATAAGCCTTGGGTCTGTGGATATACAGGCAGACATTAATCTGATAGATTAGCGATAATCCTTGGGTCTGTGGACATACAGGCAGACATTAATCTGACAGATTAGCGATAATCCTTGGGTCTTGGATCTGTGGACATTCAGGCAGACATTAATCTGACAGATTAGCGTTAATCCTTGGGTCTGTGGACATATATTTAGACAATATCTGAAAGATTAGCTATAATCCTTGGGTCTGTGGACATATATTCAGACAATAATCTGAAAGATTAGCGATAATCCTTGGGTGTGTGGACATATATTCAGACAATAATCTGAAAGATTAGCGATAATCCTTGGGTCTGTGGACATATATTTAGACAATATCTGAAAGATTAGCTATAATCCTTGGGTCTGTGGACATATATTCAGACAATAATCTGAAAGATTAGCGATAATCCTTGGGTCTGTGGACATATATTTAGACAATAATCTGAAAGATTAGCGATAAATCTTGGGTCTGTGGACATATATTCAGACATTAATCGGACATATTAGCGATAATCCTTGGGTCTGTGAACAGATTCAGACAATAATATGACAGATTAACAATGATCCTTGATTCTGTGTACATACATTCAGACAATAATCTTACAGGATGGCTATAATCCTTGAGTATAATCATTGAGTCTGTCGACATACAGACTGACATCAGTCACACATACTAGTTATAATCCATGTATCTCTTGACTTTAAACTGAACCTAAGCCTGGCCCTAGCCTTAAACGTAATCCAGTAAGGTAATGTTAGTGATAGGGCACAGGTTAGAGATAGGATTAGGAATTAGTGTATAGGGAATTTCTGTACACTTTGCCGGTCCCCATGTTTAGCCGTCTATGAATTGCTTAGGCAAAGTACGAAAAACAAATCGTATTTTTTAATCTGTCCATTTGAGGCATTCTTAAAATGATATATTTTAAATATTTTAATAACATGTAGGGCCTACAGTATTATTAGCACTTGGAGGGATGATGGACCTTGAGAAAAGGGAGAGGGTAGGGGGTGGATCATTGTTGGGGTAATGCCTGAGGGTAATTGACAAAGGGTGTATGTATGTGTTACCCACTATACGTCTCTAGTGACTTGATCTACTCAATGTGCATGTGTGACGTCCAATGCGGCCATAACTGTTTACACTATCCCAAGTACTAACCCAACAGTTTCTACCTCAAGCTAAAATTTGAAATAAACTGAAAAAAAGATAGATACAAGTCTGCCACTCAAAACTATTGATCATCGTGTGTTATGAGTTTAATTTGTTTTAAATATGAGCGACTTTGTATCTAACTGGGGAGGGTAAGAAATCGATTTGTTGGCTACACTTCGCCATGATAGAAATATTATTGTGGATATCAACAGTTTATAGATAGTTTTTTTATACGCGATAACTGTAATATGTTGAACACTAAATGCTATTTTTATTATTTTTGAGTTGTACATTATTATAAATACAATTTGTGCCGTTGTTATATATATATATAACATTAAAATAAATATAGATTTAGAATACAAGCGGGGTAAAGGTTAAGGTCCCGTCCCATAGCAGTAGAAATAAATGCATACCTGGTTGTTAGGTGGGGGTGAGGGTTGGTGTCCCGTATAAATGCATACCTGGTTGTTAGGTGGGGGTGAGGGTTGAGGCCCTGTATAATTGCATACCTGGTTGTTAGGTGGGGGTGAGGGTTGGTGTCCCGTATAAATACATACCTGGTTGTTAGGTGGGGGTGAGGGTTGGTGTCCCGTATAAATACATACCTGGTTGTTAGGTGGGGGTGAGGGTTGGGGTCCCGTATAAATACATACCTGGTTAGGTGGGGTGAGGGTTGGGGTCCCGTATAAATACATACCTGGTTGTTAGGTGGGGGTGAGGGTTGAGCCCCGTCCCATAGCAGTAGAAATAAATGCATACCTGGTTGTTAGGTGGGGGTGAGGGTTGGTGTCCCGTATAAATACATACCTGGTTGTTAGGTGGGGGTGAGGGTTGGGGTCCCGTATAAATACATACCTGGTTAGGTGGGGTGAGGGTTGGGGTCCCGTATAAATACATACCTGGTTGTTAGGTGGGGGTGAGGGTTGAGGCCCCGTCCCATAGCAGTAGAAATAAATGCACGAAGCAAACATGATGGCCGCACCCAGCGTACACATGGCTGGTCCGATGGCTTGGTAAAAGCTGCAAGAAGAAGGTGCATGGTTGATGTACATAAGTCAGACAGACATAGGACATGACAGACAGGCATAAGACATGAGAAACATACGTATGAACGTTTGACATAACACATGGACAATCGGATGTTGGACATGACAGGTTATGAATATCTGACATTGGAAATGACAGACATACATAAGGCATGACAGACAGGCATTGGAGATTGCACAGTACATCGGATATTATAGTCAGACGCAGTACGTAATAGTCAGACATATGTCGGTCAGACATAGGCCATGGCAGCAATAGGGCTGGTAAGTAGGTCACAAACCAGTTCTACGGCTCAATAAAAATTGCATGAGCCATAGAACTGGTTGGTGACCTACTTACCAGCCCTATAGAGGCAAGACAATCAGATGTAGTAGAATACTTGGATTTAATATCATTACATTGTACTTTTAAAAAAATTCAAATTAATGTAAATGCCAAGGTCGCTGCTAGATTACAGTACTCACATCTTCTGGACCTCGTTCAACTCGTTGTTGGCGCCCTCCGTCTGCTGCAGGCCGACGATGGTCAGTGCCAGACCCGGGATGAACAGAATGACCCCACAGAACACCATCATGAGCAGACGACGGGGAGAGAACACGTGCTTCCGCATCCTCATTCTCCGTCTGGGGCCCCGATTCCTGGGGACGTGAGAACCTCTGATGTCAGAAGATGTTTGAATATACCCCCCCCCCCCTATTAAATCTACCAAACTGTGAACCGATTCCTGGGGACGTGAGAACCTCTGGTGTCAGACGGTGTTGGAATACCCCCCCCCCCGCCCCTTTCCCTCCACTAAAATCGACCAAATCGCGAATTAAGATTGCGATACCATTTCCAAATGAAATACGTTTAATCAAAACATGCATAATTTAATTACATAAGCCCTCTTGATGTATTTCTTTCATACCTGGCGGTCACTGTGGCAGCTGAAGTAGAGTTTTCCTGTTATTAACCTCTGCATATTAAGGGATAGTTTGGTGAGCGTTGTGAACAAACGCCTTTACTTTCTCTAACCAGGGCTCGCTAATGTATGATGTCCCTGTGTCCACCCAGCTCAGAAATCAAGACTTGAGGGTTAGGTTTCAAACGCTCCTTGGTCCGACCACGCCAATACTTTAACTTAATTTGTTTTCCATTATATGTGAATATTTGATATGTTGACTTAGTCAATGTATCACCAAACAATATTCAAGTTAATATAAAAAAAGTTTAGCGAATCCTAGACAAATTTAATTACGTTGATCAATTTATACCATTCACAAAGAAAGTTTTTCTTATTGTGCAATGCTCCCTCCAAATAAACCTCCCATTCAACCTCCCCCCCCCCCTTCACATTAACTCACAAATTAAATACATCAGCCATTGGAAAGACGAAACAGCCTTTTCAAGTTTAAAAACGGAGATATTTATTTCATGTCGATGTATTGTCTTCACCCAAAAACAGAGGTAACGAATTAGATGACCTTTTTTAAACAAATGACCTTTTCTTTGTTTAATGGCCATTTTCACCCTCGATGACCTTTCATTCTACATCTTCACCTGCTATTCAAGCGTGTGCCATGCCTGATCAAGTGTGAAGATCTCACAAAATTTGGAGTTCCAAATCCTGGACAGCATGCATTCATTAGCTGGATCAACATGCCACTACATATCTTAATCCTAATCCTAGCCCTTACTATACACTAGAACTTTGTAACCATCAAAGCTTAACTTTAATTGAGTTATCGATTTACAGTGCTTTTTTTGTGACGGTACGCCCCGGTACAGCGTACTGGCACCTTTTTCAATGTAGGGAATATTTTTTTACTTTTCTTGTATTTTAACTTTTATTATTAATTTATTATATTAAATTAAAACGAGCGAATTTAGTATCTTTGCTGTTGTGATTTGATCGATGTACGAAATGGTAGTTAAAGTTAGGCAATCTATCACTGAGTACCGGCACGTATTTTTATTTACAAAAAATAAAAGCACTATATATATATGTATAATCCTAAATCAACCGGCATCGTTGTGATTAAAAGAGGTTAGGTATCGTTATAATCTAATCCAAGTTTAATTTTTTAGTGTAAGGCTAATCGGGTGTAACCAATAACTTACCTGAGAATACTAGCGTGCACCGCAGGCCTCATGGTGTAGGGTACGGCTAATCGGTTGTTACTTACCTGAGAATACTAGCGTGCACCGCAGGCCTCATGGTGTAGGGATAGAACACAGCTTGAGGATTTAAAAATCCCGAAATCAGCTTGCTACGTCACCTGTGACGTCACCTTGACGTCAGTCCCATCATGAAACCTGCCAAAGAGCACACACAAAAAATTACGCTTTATAAAACGCAGTTTCATTAAAAATTCGCATCTAAAAATAAGATTAAGAAAACTGGCAAGGATCCTTTGCTACATTAGCAAAACGCTCCAACGTCCAAATGGTATCAACACACTATTAGCTATGTCGTGAACAGATGACCTTTTTCTTTAAAAGAGCATTTTAGTTTAGATTACAGAACTCATTATTAAAGTCATTAAAAGAACATTAACTTCAATGAAGGGTAGGCTGAAAATACTTCTTCCTTCAGCTAGCAACAACATACAAAAATGCAATTACTGAGCAACAGTTCAACAGAGATTAGCTGAAGCTACACGAGAAATACAAGATTTAGCTCCATAACAAAACTACTTTAGCTCCACGGTTACATTAATAGCCTGATGTATAAATAAACTTTAGCTCCTGATATAACACTGCTATGTATAGGAATATAAACTCAGATAAAACCAAGTTTAGCTCCACGATAACTCTGCTTTAGATCCACTGAATCAAAATATTAACATCAAGCGAAACCAAGTTTAGCTCCACACTGAAACTGCTTTAGCTCCGGCGTGTTAAAATAATAACCTCAAGTAATACAACTTTAGCCACAAGACACTACGACATCAGTTATAAATAACAACGATTTTCTAAACAAGAAACAACAAACGAATAAAAAGCTACTCTAAACATATTTAGCTGCCTACAAACTTATCATTCTCCTAACTTCTCATATCGTAATAAGATCTAGCTAACAGCTCCTCCCCCCCCCCCTTTCGTAAGAAACAAATCCATAGCCCCCACTCTTCTTCATTGTGTTGAACATTATATTTATATTGTCTTATTTTAAGAAATGCCATGAGTAAAAAAAACAAACAAGTTTGGCCTGTTAAAAGAAAATAACCCATAAAATCGTAGTTCTAGAATCCTTCTCTTGTGAGATAAGTGTTAGCCTTTTATTTCGATTTAGCAACGAGGCCCTTCAAAAAAATATCCGGAAATTAGCGAAACAATTAAAAAAACTACTCTCATGGCATGATGTTGCCTGCACCAGCGACCCATTCCGGCGCCCGGGGCGAACCATCCATTTTGCGCCCCTCACTTTAATATATGTATATATATACATATATATATATATATATATATATATATATATATATATATATATATATGTATATATATATATATATATATATATATATATATATATATATATATATATATATATATATATATATATATGTATATATATATATATATATATATATATATATATATATATATATATATATATATATATATATATATATATATATATATGTTTCTATTGTGGTGCCTAACAATTGATGTACTATTGTATGTATAATTCAATACCGCTACTTAAAATGAACTTTTTTACCAACCCTTTTTGGCGCCCCCTTATGGGTCGGCGCCCGAGGCGGCCGCCCCACCCGCCCTCCCCTAGCTACGCCACTGGCCTGCACGTACAATGCGCATGACGAAGGGGAAACAACATGGCGAATGAACAATGGACAGGTATTGATGGTACAGAATGAATGCCTATGAACACACTTTAAAAAAAAAAAATTCCTAAGAGGTTTTAGTAGGAGTTTTATATCATGTAGCAGTTAATTGACTTTTGAATTAATTTTGTATATTTTGTGGTGTACATGTGCCTCTGTAATGCTACATTTTATGCGCATTTTTTAAAAATTTATTAATGTAGAATAATAAACTTTTTTTTTAACAAACCTTTTAATTTCCATTTTAAAATAATATATCAACATGTTTAAATATTTACTTGTTGAACAATGTCAAATAAATTACAAGTGGCAAATAGTGAGGTATTACTGCTCGTAATTAATCAAAATACGTATTTAAAAAAAAAGATTTAAATCAACTAGTTGATAAAGATTTACAATAGTAATACTTCTTTCTAACATGCATTTTCATTCATTTATGATGGTTTATTTATACATAACACACAACGTCTAATTACTTTTTTTTTGTAAACCTGAAAATGTAAATGTGTAATTAAATGCTGTTTCAAAGATCTCTGCTAAGTTGATTAAATGTAGGATTACTGAAAAATATACTTCATAATAAACTAACTGTTAATTTTCAGAAGTAATCCTTATTATACCATATAATACAATGCATCATTTAAGGTTTTTAATCTTTAAATATGTTAAAAATAAACAATCTTTTAAAAATATGTTATAGTTCCAATATAGAATATTATCCTTTACAAAATTATACAAAAATGCATGAAAATTGTATATAGCAAAATTATCCATTAGTTAAACTATAAATTATTATTTTGATCGAAAGGAAACTAACCAAATATACTCTAACCTGAATTTTGATACGTATTTTAATCAATAGTTTTTATTCTTCTGCTAGTTGTAGATAAAGATGGCAGTGATGTAATTAAATAAAAGCGTCTCATTATAATCAGTATAATCAGAATCGATCTACCCGAAGGGCTAACTTTTCCTTAATTAACCACAACACGATGATTTCATAGGACTCACTTGATAAACCGTTAATAGAAAAAATATCATCTATTTATTTTATCAACTAACTTAATAAATGCAATAAAAAATATAAGCAAATAAAATCACGAGAATTAAAAAAAACGATGCAAAATTAACCAGTTTTATTCATGTCTGATGCATCAGCTATAGAATCCTGTGGCACCTTGATGTTAGATGTATGATAGCCTCTCGCGTTTTACGTCTTCTTTATTAGCTCATCCGCGACATTTACTGTTATTTATTGCTAAAACACATCCGTTCTGACCGTGGTATTAACTTTTATTTATAGGTTTGAAATATCAACCCGATGCACCCCCCCCCCCTTTTTTTTCACCCCCCCCCCCCCTCCATAGGCTACTCCCTTACCCCATTAGGGTATGGAAATTCCCCCATAAAAATATGACACTGTTTCTGGGCAGGAGCTAGTCCCTGATTGGCCAGGCAGTTCGGCCATTTTGCTGAGTAATTTTATTTATAGCACTGGGAAACACAGAGGAGACAGACGGGGAGACAACACAGGATGAATAAAATGGTTTTTATCGTCCACGTTAGATGCAGACAGTGCACTTTATCCTTGCGGTTTATTTTTTTTTAATTTATTTTGTTGTTGTCCTGATTTGCATAAAATATAAACTTGGGTCTCAGGAAACGTGACGTTCTCATCTTACCTAACATGTTGTCATTAACGACTTATAACGAAAAAAAGAAAGAATGTTTGTTTTTTTAATATAGAATATAGATATTAACCGTCTTTATTTTTTGTTATTTTTTTTTTTTTGAGCGAGGCAGATCAATAATTTTCATGACATGTGTAAACCTGTCATTTACATGTCATATGTAGGGAAATGATTTATGTGACATATTCAGGTTAATAATTTATGTCATATGTAAACGAATCATGAAATAAATGCTTATTAAATGCAATGGGTAGGCCTATCTATATATTTTTCTATTGACAAAAATAAAATATAACCTTTAAATTCGACAACTACCCATAACAAATACATCTTTAATACCTGGCAATCAGTTGCGCAGGTGAAGAAGAGTTTATTTGTATTATTTGTGTTTTTAAGGGGTTGTTTGGTCAGTTCTATTCACCAGAAGCGTAGCGACCCTTCCCGGCGCCCGGGGTCAAACTTTCAGTTCGGCGCCTCCCCCCCCCCCCACCCCCGGGGCCAAACTTTCAATATGGCGCCCCCCCCCCCCCCCTCATATATTTTTTTATATGTATAATGCAAAACAGCAGCTAAAATGAGCTTTTAATTTTTTTCAATCCATTTTGGAGTCCGCTATGATTGGCGCCCGGGGACATATGTACCCCCTCCCCTCTCGCTACGCCTCTGCTATTCAATAGAGACATTACGACAGACCTAATACAAACAACTAGTATCTGTTTTCAACACAAAAACCCAGCTTGTTACAAGGTGAAAAATAAATTCATCCTAAAACATAACCTGACCGGCAGATTGCGAGAGGCGGTATGCTAGGGCATTAAGAGCTAGGTGTTATGGACGAGAATGATTCAGGGAATTAAGAGCTAGGTGTTATGGACGAGAATGATTCAGGGAATTAAGAGCTAGGTGTTATGGACGAGAATGATTCAGGGAATTAAGAGCTAGGTGTTATGGACGAGAATGATTCAGGGAATTAAGAGCTAGGTGTTATGGACGAGAATGATTCAGGGAATTAAGAGCTAGGTGTTATGGACGAGAATGATTCAGGGAATTAAGAGCTAGGTGTTATGGACGAGAATGATTCAGGGCATTAAGAGCTAGGTGTTATGGACGAGAATGATTCAGGGAATTAAGAGCTAGGTGTTATGGACGAGAATGATTCAGGGAATTAAGAGCTAGGTGTTATGGACGAGAATGATTCAGGGAATTAAGAGCTAGGTGTTATGGATGAGAATGATTCAGGGAATTAAGAGCTAGGTGTTATGGACGAGAATGATTCAGGGAATTAAGAGCTAGGTGTTATGGACGAGAATGATTCAGGGAATTAAGAGCTAGGTGTTATGGACGAGAATGATTCAGGGAATTAAGAGCTAGGTGTTATGGACGAGAATGATTCAGGGAATTAAGAGCTAGGTGTTATGGACGAGAATGATTCAGGGAATTAAGAGCTAGGTGTTATGGACGAGAATGATTCAGGGAATTAAGAGCTAGGTGTTATGGACGAGAATGATTCAGGGAATTAAGAGCTAGGTGTTATGGACGAGAATGATTCAGGGAATTAAGAGCTAGGTGTTATGGACGAGAATGATTCAGGGAATTAAGAGCTAGGTGTTATGGACGAGAATGATTCAGGGAATTAAGAGCTAGGTGTTATGGACGAGAATGATTCAGGGAATTAAGAGCTAGGTGTTATGGACGAGAATGATTCAGGGAATTAAGAGCTAGGTGTTATGGACGAGAATGATTCAGGGCATTAAGAGCTAGGTGTTATGGACGAGAA